TAACAAACATTATTCGTAAAATGAAAACATCTGGCTCACCTTGTCCTCTAGATCAAATCTCCATTATAAGTTTTAAGCGTTGCCCATACCTCCGAACATATTTAACCGAACTAATTCAAGCAGTCTGTCTTTCCGGATCTGTACCTGACGAATGGAAGAAAGCTTGTACTATATTAATCCACAAGAAAAATGATGCTAATCTCCCCGAGAACTTCCGTCCAATAACTCTTCAATCCGTACCACTGAAAGTATTCACTTCAAGTCTCCGTATTGCAATGTTCTCTTACCTACTCGCCAATAACTTTATCGAGCACGAAATTCAAAAGGGCTTCACCCCTCATATATCGGGGACATTTGAACATACAGCACAAATGGCTTATATAATCAATCAAGCACGAATAAGACAGCGATCTCTCGTTATAACCCTTCTTGATCTCAAGAATGCGTTTGGTGAAGTACATCACAATTTAATCCAATCTGTTCTTGGCTATCATCGCATACCTCAACATATTCAACTCATGATTAAAAGCCTTTACACAAACTTTAAAACATCAATCATCACATCTGATTTTAACACCCCATTTGTAGAAGTAGGTCGTGGAGTTTTGCAGGGAGATTGCCTCAGTCCATTACTATTTAACCTATGCCTTAATACTTTTATCCAGCACATAAAATCGGAGAAATATCAACAGTTTGGTTTTTCTTATAAACTTCTCAACCCAATTCATTGGTTCCAGTTCGCTGACGACGCAGCCGTAATAACCGGCCAAGAATCTGAAAATCAACACCTACTAAACCGTTTTGCAATTTGGAGTCAATGGTCAGACATGATTATTCGAGTAGATAAATGTAGCACCTTTGGCATCAAAAAAGCTCTCACCAAATCAATTCAATACCTCCCTAAGTTAATCATTAACAAATCTATTATTCCAGCTGTTGAAAGTGGAAAATCATTCTGCTATTTAGGAAGGTACTTTGATTACGAAATGACAAACAATGAACATAAATCAGAATTAGTCTCCCTATTGACAGACCTAATGAAACAAATAGATCTGAAGCCATTACATCCGAAAAACAAGATTCTCCTCTACAGTCGCTACGTTCTTTCAAAACTCTCATGGCATTTCAGTATAACATCAATTCAAAAAACGTGGATTCTGAAAACCTGGACTCAGTTTTCAAACAATACATTCGTAAATGGCTTGAGGTACCTATTTCTGGATCACTTAGTAACATTTACCTAACCAGTAACAAATTTGGTCTGAACATTATCCCCCCATCAACTAAATTCATGCAATGTCAAACAACTATCCGCAGTGCTTTGAAGTCATCTCCAATGAATCAATAACCCACCTCTGGAAATCGACCTGTAATCATACTAACACCCAATATGATCAGTATACGTCGACAAAAGAAGTAATCAAGTCATTCCGTGAAGGTCATGAAGATAATTGGAAAATCGGTTAAAATGTCAAGGTTCATTCTTCTCCAGCATCTCAAAATTTTCACTACCCCAAGTAAATTCGATTTGGCCAACCTGTCAATCAAAACTACCAAAAAACATTTTCAACTTCACTTTTCGCTACATAAACAATTCGCTACCAACCCATAAAAACCTTCAAAAATGGGGACTCTCCTCGTCCTCCGAGTGCTCGTTTTGCCTTAAACCCGAATCTCCGTTACACGTTGTTGCTGGCTGTAGTTCCTATCTTGATCGATTTACTTGAAGACACGACTCAATCCTAAATTTTATTGCTAATAACCTCCCATGAGAACATATTCAGACCATTTATGCTGACTTACCGTCATTCCCTAATTCCTCTATTATTACTGGTGATGACCATCGTCCTGATCTACTAATTTTGACCAAAGACAATTGTCTGTATGTACTCGAACTGACCGTTGGATATGAGACTAACATGAGGAATAATATACAGCGCAAATATTCAAAATATAAAGAGATGATCGTAGAACAAAAGAAAAAATTCCGGCCGGTAAAGTTCATTAACCTCTCAATCAGTGCACTCGGTGTTTTTGAAAGAGAATCTTCACATTTCATACAAATGTTGGAACATTTGAACTCATGCAGATAAGGCCGGTGTTAAATATATCATTAGGAAAATCATTAACATTGCAATAAGAACGACATATTACGTTTTCGAGGATTGGTCGAATACAAGGATTGGTCGAATCCAGATTTAATGAACTTCTAGTTAGTCTCTTACTTTTTGTATCATATAATTATGTCCATGTGTTATGTAAATGCAGTAATATATAGCGTATCAAGTAGCCAATTGTAAATTACCTTTAACAGTGAGATTTTCAATTGTAAGTGCATAAAAAATTCAATAAAGTTTTCATTATTATTATTATTATTATTATTAAAAAAAAATCGGCTAACGCTTGTTTAAACCCAACTTACAAAATTTACTTAACTGATGGCTATTCGTCCGTAATAAGTCAAGAATATTCCATAACACGTTTAATATCCTATATAACTCTGGGTTAGCAGAGGCAGGGAAATATACATCTCACGGAATATTTCTCGACTTAACGATATTAGGGAAACTCGTCTTAGACGGGGAACTCGTCTAATATGAATCCGGAGGCAGATGAGTTTCCCGTCCGAACTTACCCGTCTAAACCGACGGGAAAGTTAGACAGGAATCCCATCCAGACGGGAAACTCGTCTTAAATTCGAATTTATCCGTCCCTAAATTCATATTCAGACGGGTTTTCGCAGAAGAGTTTCCCGACGAGTTTCCCGCCCCTAATATAAATTCGGCTATTGAATATCACCGATCCGATATCAAATATCACAGTCAAATATAGCCAAGTTCTTCATTTAACTGTGCGGTATTCCTTTACAAGGTCAATTTAGTTTATTTGACTGTAAAGAGTAAACTAGTGTTTTAAAATAATTTACATGCATGAAGGCAAGATGCTAAAATATGCCAAAAATGGCAGCCTGTGAGGAAAGGCATGACAGATGTTTAAAATAAGGAAAAAAACTTCGAAAACGATAGTTTGTAACAGGGGTTAAAAATCCTACCTTTAGCTTTAACATTTATACTGACAAGCCGCGAGTTGTAATAATTAACTTGAGGACGAAATATTTCACACTTGTATCTCCCCGAGTCTTTCGTAGACACATTATTCAACGTTAGAATTAGGATTCCAGGTCCATTGAGTGCGGATTTCAGTTCTATCTGATTTCTTTGTGAATCAAGTTTGTACCAAGTAATTTGATATAAATTGGTACCCATTTCTGCTTCGCATATTAGATCAACATTGCTTCCAGTATCGTAGTATTCTCTATTTGGCCACTTCAGAATTTTGGCTTCCCTATAAGCTTTTCCTATATAAATAAGAATATTAACGTTATATATAAGAAACGGAAATATATAGGCATGAACATAATTGCTACACCTCACAACAAAATCTGATTTCAGTGCATGTTATAGAGTGTATGTAGTTATTTATGTCCTTTATATGGCCATGTCCAGTGCTATTACTGACGACCGTCTAAGTACGACGAAAACGTAAAGCATTTAAAAGCAATCGCATTAACTAGACTCAGAAACTCAACAAAT